CAATTCACAAATTCACAAATGCAAAGATGTGTCATCAGCCTAAATGCCCATCAACTGATTAGTGAGTAATGAAAAAGGTGAGTGTTAGTTATTCCCTCACGACCTTGAGTAGATTATAATGAATACAAAATTCAGATCCTTTCACACCTATACAGACATTTATTCACAAACATTCACTGAGGCAGGCACAAAACATTTTTTCGTAAGCTTGACAACATCCCAGCAATCTGTCCTTTTAGGTGTTTTAACTACCGTCTTCTACAGAAGGTTCACTTGAAGCAGATGTTATAGCATCCCAGGGTCAGGGAGCAGAATTCTGTTCCCGTTCTAGTCAGCATCACGCTGTCACAATCACCTGGCCCAATGACTGGATGTGGAATTATTTAGGAATCAAGCCCTAAATACCATTTGCTGAAGGTTCTAATGCCTGTTCAAGAAGAGGCAGAGTGTCTCTAAATATTTTAGCTAATCCCCCTATCTTGAATAACTTAAATTTCGCCATGAGCCCATTTCTATCACCATGCTGATTAACAAGCTTCTGATTTCAATGACATTAATCTATTTCTGACATTCCCTGTACTATTGACCAAAACCTCCAGTGTGACTTTGGATCACAGAAGTCCTGGTGGTAGCTACCTCTGGAGCATGGCTTTTCTAATACAGTCAATCCTTCCTGGTGTGTGAATTTCCAACAGAGCAGCTATTGGCCCCTAGACCTCAAGCTTGATGCACACAGCATCATACTGTCTAGGTAAAGTGTTTTCTTGTTGTTGTTTTTAATCGGAGTCTCACTCTGTCACCCAGGCTGGAATGCAGTGGCATGGTCATGAAGATGATGGCTCACAGCAGCCTCCCAGTCTTGTGTGATCCTTCTCCCTCAGCATCCTGAGTAGCTGGGACTACAGGCATGCACCACCACATGTGGCTAATTTTTTGATATTTTTGTAGAGACAAGGTTTCACTATGTTGCCCAGGCTAGTCTTGAACTCCTGGGTTCAAGCAAGCTGCCCACCTCAGCCTCCCAAAGTGCTTGGATTACAGGCGTGAGCCACCGTGCCCGGCCAGGAAAGTATTTTTAAATAAAATACTGACATAAATGACTAGATTTCAAGCAAGGCATTAGTAACTCTAACTGGAACAGGGAGCCATGGATAAGTACTAAGTAATGAGGTTGTAGATATTTGTGGGAATCAATTAATGGAAAACACTGGAATACTATACAAGATAGAAATGGCCATGTAGAGCATCCATACAGGGACTGGATTACTCCAGGAAACAAAACTAACATGAGGGGTAATTAAGTATCTTTTCTTGACTTGTTTCTTTATTTCTGATCATGCTTGTTGAGCACCCTCCATTAATTGATTAATACAAGTTCATTATGCAAAATTTGGGAAACATAAAAAAGGGTAATGAGAGGGAAAAAAAAATCACCTCAAATCCTAGCTCCCAGTTATAAACTAGGTAGCATTTAGTGTAAACACTTTCCATTTTCTTCCATTCCTGCATATATAACTTCTACATGGTTTATTTACCACAGAATGTACTATTTAATTTTTTTCTAATCACAAAAGTAATGCATGTTGAATTTAGAAAACAGAAAAGAACAGAGAAAAAAACAAATGTCCATAATCCTTTCACTCATAGGAACCACGTTTTGTTTGTACTCTGATCCCAGTCGCTAACACAATGCCGCATTAAGCAGACTGTGTTGTCTGCTTAATAGGTTCTCCATAATGAAGGGATCATTTGCCTGTGCCACACTTAGATAGGTGACATACTCTAAAACCAAAAGTGTAACCATGGCTTAAGGGAAAGAAGGAAGCAAACCCATTTATGTTAGAAAATGATTCTAAAGCTTACTTCTTGAATGCCTTAGCTTTTTATTGCAGGAGTTGACCTTTCTCAGCAAGATGTCCATTGCCCAAATTGTGTATTACCTGTCAAGGAGTTAAGTCAGATTACTGCTATACCTCTCACAATCTAAGTTCTACATCTCTATTTGTATTTCAATGAAAAGGATTCATGGTGCACCAAGTCATTAAGGCTCTAAGATCTTTGCAACTCCTAATGGCAGCCCAACAGGGAAAGCTATTGTAGAGAAAAAATAGCCATAGGATTAGAGAAGAAAGCCTTGTTTGCAATGCCATTGCTGATGTGTACACTACCTCCTGTGATGTGGCATGAATGGATTTAGACATAAATCTAAGGCTTTGCAGACTAAGCACCCTCATCAAATAGTATTTATTTGGGGTTATAGCTGAGATACTGTTTTCCTTAGCAACCAGATGCAGCAGGAAATTTGATTGAGAATAGGAATTTTTACACAATTCCATATATTTACCTTTTATGTCATGTCTTCTTAACCTAATAGCCTTAAAATCATATACTTGATTCTTGAGTAGAAGAAATGTATAAAGAGAGAGAGAGAGCGCATTTCCATTTGACTTGATTCCCCAGTTATGATCAGATACAATTTTTTTTCCCTGAAGTTTTCTAAAATCTCTATTGGTGGTATGCATTGATTAACGTGATATCCAATATCTTCTTCCCTTTATCTGCCTACTACTAAACCACATGAAGCTGATAACAAGTTATATTTGAGAATATTTTCCACTTCTGACCACACAAAACACATACATACTACAAGTAGCTACTATTTTCTGTATTTATGACATACTAGCGAATTCTTTACAATGAAGCTGAAATCTACAAATTTCTAGGTCGAAATGAAGTTAAGTCTCAGAAAGCAGTGGAAATGAGAAATGTTGAATAATTGGGCAAACTCTTTTCCTAGAGGAATTGTTCTCTGAGATGCAGCAAAGAAGCCAGAAATGGACTTGAAAGCAGAGAAGTTTCTAAGTGGGAGGAGGGGGAGCTATTGGCAAAGAGAAGATAACGGAAGAGCTTGAAAAGCCTCGAGAGGGTTAGGGACAAACTTCTAAAAGGCTGCCAGTGGGAGCCTCCTAAAGTCAAATGACAACAAATGATTGTTGATTGTCTTCCTGGTTGTACGGTTGATTGTGGAAAGAAAGTAAAATATCTAATATTAACTTCAGGGAAACACAAACTTCTACACAAATTCCCCAAGCCTGGATATATAATGTGCAAAGTTTTGTGAGAAATGGGGTTATACCTCCAAGTAAGTTTGAGGAAGGAAACTCAACCTCCACTTTATTGTAGTCCTCTAGCTTTAACTGTGTTGTATGGAAAATGCCTAGACCCTGTGGCTTAGAAACCCACCACTCAGGCCGTGTGATACACTTGGAAGCCCATAAGAAAGCTCTGATTAATTGAAGACACAAGCTGCAAACTAAACTTAATTGTCTCTACTGGATTTATCTTAAGTTCACAAATTGGTGATCTCTCCCTGTGAAAGAAACAATAGAACAATAAAAACTAAAAGGAGACCGCCCTCATATTCCATTGCATTCAGTTGAAAAACTTGAGGTTGAAAAGATGAAAAGTACTTATTGATATTAAAATATGAGGGAGTATTGAACAAAAGAAAGAGATAAAAGAAAGCAATTATTTTATTAAATTGTGAGCAATTGTTTAAAAGTCTGCTCCAGCACTTGGTCCACTAGCAAATTTTATAAAAATGCCAACATTGTATTTTCCAGTAGACTTAAAGCTGTACATTTCATATATTCCATATATCCTACTGAGCTTGAGAGTATGGATTGTTTTTAGATTTGGATTCTACTCCTTCTCTAATATGTATTCTGTATTATATTTATATGTATATTATATTTATCTATATATTACATATGTACATACATGAATGCACACATTGTACTGATTATACATACCATGTGCCAACAGAAAGTTAAATTATATGGAATATAATTGATCAACTTATTAAGGCCTAAAAAGCTTAGTAAGTTTTAGGGAATATTTTCAAGTGGAGTTAAAGGCAGAGAAAATTTTTTATGGATAGATCCCTCCTGCTTACGCTGGGTCTGTCTCCCTGGTTAGAATATATATTTATTTGTGGGGAAAGAATTACTTAGATCTATGTTCCTGCCTTATATGTTTGTATATTATTCCTTGGACTGCCTATCCTTTTTCTCTTTGCCAATCTGAATGTGATAAACACTCAGATTATGGCTAGAAAGGAATATTGGCCATCACTTGAAGAATGTCTTCTGTCCCACCAACCTCACAAAGTCTTTCCATGCTTTCAGCAGCCCACAATATGAGGAATTCATTTAAAATTCCACAGTGACCTCTTCTTTCTCTGAACTTTTGTGGCACTTAAAATATATACAACTAATTAGATAACTTTCATAAATGGCCTTATGTTTTCTTCATTCATATATATCTTATTCTCTGACTATTCCATATTACATTTCTTGTACTTCTCTGTATCATCACTATGCCTAACTCAATGTCTTGTACATAAAAGTAGACTACTAGTGAGCAAGTAGACTCACTTAAGTGATTGCCTAATTATGCTTAGCTGTTATATCTCTTTGGCACTTAGAAAATATTCAAATATTTGTTTACTTTAAACTTAGTGTGCAGTAGGAATTAAACTGTCTTTAAAATCTTGAATAAACACTTAGCCAAATGGTTTGTTCTACATTTTAAAGAAAAAAAATTGATGGTGTTATAGATAAATACTTTAAGGGAATGCTATTTATGCACTTGACTATGTCTGAAAACATTGTCTAATATGCAAGCACTGCAGTAAAAATTTTGGAATAATTACATTTTTTTCCTCTTAAAGTCCAAAGCAGAATAGTTTTTGTTTTTCATGTGAAGAAAACAATTTAAAATATATTTTTAAAAATATGGTACTTTTCTATACCTACCCCATATTAAGGGTTTAGTTTCCTTTTAAAAGACTTCTTTATGTAGCTTGACACTGTATTTTTCGATTGGTGACAAGATCTTCTGAATAAACTTACATATCTGAAATACTTAAGATATGTGAATGCTAGACATTTTTGCCAAGTGTTGTCCTCAAATTTTTTTAACACTTCCTTTTTACATAGTGATCAGCGTTGGCTATGGATTGGTTTGAATAAAAGGAGCCCAGATTTACAAGGATCCTGGCAATGGAGTGACCATACACCAGTAAGTTAAAACTCTCTTGTTTTGGATAATATGGAAGCAATATTTGTTTCAATAACTGGTAAGTTGGTTGTTAAATAATATATCCACACCTAAAATTCATATGGAACCAAAAGACTGAATACCCAAAGCAATCTTGAGCAAAAAGAACAAAGCTGGGTGCATCATACTACCTGATTTCAAAATATGTTGCAAATCTGTAGCAACCAAAGCAACATAGTACTGCCATAAAAACAAGCACACAGACCAATGGACTAGAATAGAGAACCCAGAAATAATCCATGCTTTGACAACCAACTGATCTTCAACAAAAGTGTCAAGAACATACAGTGGGGAAAGGACAATCTCTTCAATAAATGGTGCAGGGAATACTGTATACCCACTTGCAGAAAAATTAAATTAAACCCATATCTCATATACCATAAACAAATCAAATCAGAATGAATTAAAGATTTAAATGGAAGACCAAAACTATGGAACTACTAGAAGAAAACTTAGGAAAGTCTGGGTGTGTGACTCATGTCTGTAATCTCAGCACTTTGGGAGGCAAAGAAGGGAGGATTGCTTGAGCCCAGGCAGCCTAGGCAACATAGTGAGACTTCATCTCTACAAAAAATTTAAAAATAACTGGGCATGGTGGTACATGTATCTGTATTCCCAGCTACTTGGGAGGCTGAGGCAGAAAGATCACCTGAACCCAGGAGGTCAAGAAAGTGGTGAGCCATTATCTTGCCACTGCACTCTAGCCTGGATGGCAGAGTGAGACCCTGACTAAAAAGAAGAAGAAGAAGACAATCTAAGAGTAAAGCTCAATTACATTATATTGGGCAATGATTTTATATATGTATATATTTATATGACCCCAAAAACACAGGCAACAAAAGCAAAAATAGACAAATGGGATTACATCAAACTAAAAATCTTCTGCACAACAAAGGAAACAATGAACAGAATAAAGAGACGACCTATAAAATAGGAGAAAATATTTGCAAATTATGCATCTGATAAGAGGTAAATATCCAAAATACAGTCATGCATCACTTAACATCAGAGATACGTTCTGAGAAATGCATTATTAGGTGATTTTGTCTCTGTTCAAACATCATAGAGTGTACCTTACAAACCTAGATGGTATATGTGATATAGCCTGTTGCTCCTGTAGAAAATTGTAGCACAGTGGTATCTGTGTAAATAACCCTATCTAAAAGGGTACAGTACAGAGATGACATTATAATCTTATGGGATCAACGCCATATAGGTGGCCTGTGGTTGACTGAAATGTTGTTTCTTATACAGACCACATGGCTCTGTATAAGAAACTCCACTCAGTAGCAAGAAAACAAATAACCCAAATAAAAAATGAGCAAAGGACCTGAATAGATATTTCTCAAAAGAAGATATGCAAATGGTATTAAAAAATGCTCAGCATCATTGTTCATCAGAGAAATACAAGTTAAAACCACATTAAGATACCACCTCACACCTGTTAGAATGGCCATTATTAAAAAAGGCAAAAAAAAAAGTGATGGTGAGAATGTAAAGAAAGGGACCTTTTGCATACTGTTCATGGGAATGTAAATTAATGCAGCCGTTATGGAAAACAGTATGGAGGTTCATCAGAGAACTAAAAGTAGAACCACCGCCAGCATGGTGGCTCATGCCTGTAATCCCAGCATTTTGGGAGGCTTAGGTAGGAGAATCACTTGAGCCTAGGAGTTTAAGATCAGCCTGGGAAATATAGTGAGAACCTGTCTCTACAAAAATTCAAACAAACAAACAAAAAAATTAGCCTGGCTTGCTGGTGCATATCTGTAGTCCCAGCTACTTGGGAGACCGAGACGAAAGGATCGCCTAAGCCCAGGAAACCAAGGCTGTGGTGAACCAAGATTGCACCACTGCACTCCAACCTGGGTGATGGAGGGAGACCCCAAATGAAATAAATAAATAAACAAATAAATAAAAATATAACTACCATATGATCCAGCAATCCCACTGCTAGATATATGTACAAAACAAAGGAAATCAGTGTATTGAAGAGATATCTGCACTCGAATGTTTATTGCAGCATTATTCACAATAGCCAAGATAAGGAATCAATCTAAGTGTCCATCAGTGGATGAATAGATACAGAGAATGTGAAATACATATACAATAGAATATTATTGGACCATAAAAAAGGAATAAAATTCTGCCATTTGTGACAATATGGATGAACCTAGAAGACTTGATGTTAAATGAAATAAGTCAGGCACAGAAAGACAAATACTGCATGGTCTCACTCAGATATGGAACTTTAAAAAGTTGATCTCATGGAACTAGAGAAGAGAATGATGGTTGCTGGGGCTGGGGCATTTGGGGTCAGGGATTGGGGAGATGTTGGTTAAAGGATACAAAATTTCATTTAGACAGGAAAAATAAGTTCAAGAGTGCTATTGCACAACATTGTAACTATAATTACTAATATTTTGTATTCTTGAAAAATACTGAGAGAGTGGATTTTGTGTTCTCAGCACAAATATGATAACTATATGAGATAATCCATTTGTTAATTATCTAGATTTAGTCAGTTCCCAATGTATATACACTTCAAAACATCATGTTGTACATGATAATTACACATAATTTTATCTGTCAATTTAAGAAAATAAAATAATTTAAAAGTACATCCACATATCATGCAACCATTAAAATTAATTGAAATGGAAATAGATTCACATACACAGGAAGTGGGGAAAAAACAAGTTACTAATATTATTTTTATTTTAAAAGCCCCGTATGGCCGGGCTTGGTGGCTCAGCCTGTAATCCCAGCACTTTGGGAGGCCGAGGCGAGTGGATTGAGCCCGTGAGTTCGAGACCCGCCCAGGCAGCTTGGCGAGACCTCATCTCTACAATACATCAAAAACTAGCTGGGTGTGGTAGCGTGCACCTGTAGTTCCGGCTACTTGGAAAGTTGAGGCGAAAGGATCACTGAAGCTCAGCAGGTCGAGGCTGCAGTGGCTGAGAGCTTGCCACTGCACTCCAGTCTAGGCGACGGAGTGAGACTCCAACTCAAAAAAATAAAAAATTAAAAAATAAAAGCCCCATATATACAGTCTGTTTTTATATAGTCCAAAAATTAAAAAATATAGATATAGCGCTCATCTTTGGATAGTACAAGTGATTATTCTTTGTATTAGTTATTTCCTTTTTAATAATGAGAAGCTTTTATTTTTATTATCTAACAATATAAGTTACATGAAAATGAAAGTATCTTTATTAGGGGATATTGTTTGGGGAAATCTTTAAAAATCCTTAATATTATTTTAAATGTTTACATTATTCTGAGGAGAAATTTTATGTAACATTTGTAGAAGCAAAATATTCTCACATATTCAATATTTGCTCTACATTACCACTGTCAATTCATTTTTTATTCTTTCTAAATGTAAAATGCCTTGACTTTTATTTTCAAATTGGAGCATATCTGAAATTAGTTAATCAAATAACTAGCATTTCCCCACATGCAAAAAAAAAAAAAAGTCTGTTGCAAGTCCTGATTCTCTGTGACTCCAGTAGTGAACCTAGTATACCATTAACCTCTGCTTCTGAAACTGTAGCTTCCTTTGTTTGAAAACTTATGATATTATAACATTTTCTAAGTCCTTTCATGACTAAACATCCTTAGAGATGAAAAAGTTTTCTTTCTGTAGCATATGAACACACTTGAGTTATTAAAGCTGCCTAAATTACATCTAAATTGCAAATATTTATACCTCAGTCTTAAATTATCAAGCCTCTCTTGTCTTTTCAGGTGTCTACTGTTATCATGGAAAATGAGTTTCAGCAGGATTATGACATCAGAGACTGTGCTGCTGTCAAGGTCAGTACAATGCTGGAAAATTTGCATATTTAAAAAATAAGCCATGTGCAGTCAGACAACAGGTGCATGAAGTGCCTTGTGTGTATGAAACGTGATGTCAGGTATGATGGGAGATAGGTACACCTATGGCCTGGCCTTTAGCAGCCCAACTTAAACTTTATTTGTGAAGATAAAATTCATATTCAAAGAAGGCTAATGATCCTTCAGGAGAGGAAGTGATCCCTGTGGCCATTTTCCAGGAAGAGGTAGGATTTGCACTATTTACCGATGAATAGAGTTCATACAGTTGGATAGGGTAAGACTTTCTAGTGGGGACTGGTATGAGAAGGTGGCGTAAAATCAAGTGAGAGTGGAAAGAAGAAAGAAAGGCAATGAGGAGAACCAAATACAGACCAAGAAGTTTACTTCCGTGCTGCCGTTGAAAAAAAATTGGGAAATTAGATTAATGCCAGGTTACAGAATTACAGTTTCTGGCTGGGCACAGTAGCTCACACCTGTAATTCCAGCAGTTTTGGAGGCTGAGGTGGGAGGATTGCTTAAGCCCAGGAAGTCGAGACCAGCCTGGGCAACATAGCGAGATCTCATCTCTACAAAAGTTAAAAATAAATTAGCCAGGTGTTGTGGCACACACTTGTAGTCCCAGCTTCTCAAGAGATTGAAGTGGAAGGATTGCCTCAAGAAGATCAAGACTGTGATGAGCCGTGATCATGCCACTGCACTCCAGCCTGGGTGAAAGAATGAGATCCCATCTCAAAAAAAGAAAAGTAAATAAATAAAAATAAAAGTTTCTGAATGGGGAAAGTGACATGAACCAAGGAGGGTATGAGGAAGATTCATCTTGAGATGTATTTCAAAATGCAACAGGTAGGCTTGCAAGTCATAAACCAGTTAACCATCTTCCTTTGCAGAATTCATTCATTTCATTATCAACTTCATAAAAGTATGTCTAAGTGGTCTATGAGGCACCAAGGTATATAACAATAATAATATACAAAACATAGCTGTTGTCTTCACAGAACTTACAGGCTAGTAGGAAATAAAGACAAGTGAACAAGCAATTCCAACACTATTGGGTAAAAGGATTATGACTGGTGAAACTGAAGTTTTTTCAAGAACACGGGTATTATGAGAGAATAATAATGATGGTAATGGTGATGGTCAGTGGTGGTGATGGTGATGGTGGCAGCAGGTAAAACTTATCGACTCCTTTCTGAGTCAACCACTGTAATAGGCATGTCACATACATTCTTTCACTTAATACTTAAGCAACCATGTGAAGTAGTAGTGCTGCCATATTTATCTCATAGAGAAAGAAATTTGAGCTTTAAGTAATTTACCAAAGGTTACATGGTTACAGAACTGAAATTTAAAACCACATGTGTCTGGATCTAGTACTCTTAACCACTATACTATACGACTAGGCATTATAGAAACAGTTAGAAGGAGTACTGGTTTATGAGAAAATAGTATGCTGTAGTCCCAGCTACTCGGGAGGCTGAAGTGGGAGGATCACCTGAGCCCAGCAGGTCAAGGCTACATTAGCCATGAGCATGCCACCGCATTCCAGCCTGGACAACAGAGTGAGACTCTGACTAAAGAAAAAGAAAAAAAAAAGATGTATTCTATGTTGAAATCAAGATACTGGAGTTGAAAGAAAAAAATGTACATTCTAAAAAAACAAAGGACCAAGAAGATGATTTGTAGGAAGAATAGTCAACATATAAAGTGAAAGAAAGTACAGAAGGAGGACACATCTAGATGTCTTTACTAGAAAGAAAGATCCAAGAAAGATTCAAAAAGGTGGTTGAGGAAAGGTTACAGGAAGGCTGAGGCAAATAAGAACTGACAAAGCCATTAAAAAGCACTGTTTTCAAAGTAACTCTTAGAGTAATAAATTGTATAGTATCATGCCATTTTTATAGAATTCCCAACTTAGCACATGAAAAGGTAAAAACTTCAGAGACGCTTATATGAAGTTTTCAGGAGTGTCAAGGACACTGATGCAATAAACTGTGTTCTATGCAAATAGAGTCCCCAAATATGGCGAGATTTGAAAATCTACCAGAAAATAAGTGAAAGAGATACGGATGCAAACTGCATCCTGAACAAGTCCATAATGTTCTGTAAGAAGAGTCTTACTCAACTGCCACAGTACCCACCAGAATCTTGGCCTATGGCAAATAGTCCAAAAAGTGATGGATGACTCTCCCAGGTCATGCCTTTCCCTTTCCTTTCTCTCCTGCTTGAGGACTGGAATTTGTAGTAAGCCATCCTGGACCGCATGGAGAAGGGCAAAATCCTAGGCATGGCAGAGCAACACCAAAGAAGGAACCTGGGTGTCTGATGCCAGACTTTTATGTCACTTTCTGATCTGCTTTGATCACAGTCTAATGCTTGGGTACCATTGAAATAAATATTCTTTTCTAGCTTGGTCTTGTCCAGATTTTAAAAGTCCAAGATTCTACTATTTCATGTCAACAGAAACGAAAACAAGAAGGGAAAGAAAACAATTTGTGTTTTAGACGTAAACGTAACCTTACCATGTATTTCTTTATCAGCCCCTTTGAAGGCTCTTGTCCAGTGTATTAGTGTTTAAACATTCCATTCATTCATGTGTTCATTTATTAAACAATTACTTTTGGTGCTAGAACGAAAATAAAGAGCAAAACCATAGGGCTTTTGGTCTTGTGTTTCATAAGGGCTGCATCAACTTCAAGTATTCTGCATGCCTTTTCCTCCTTTTAGGTCGTTCATAGGCCATGGCGGCGAAGCTGGCATTTCTATGATGACAGAGAATTTACTCATTTGAGGCCTTTTGCTTGTGATACAAAACTTGAGTGGGTGTGCCAGATTCCAAAAGGTAAGTGGTAGTTTGTCCTTTTCACAGCCTTGTCATGCTAACATTGTGAATGCTAAGCTAAAAGTACCTAAAGGAGGATTTTAAGCTATAATTCTAATTTCTAAAAGCCTGTGAAGATGTAACTAATACATTAAGCACTTCCCACCCCCTGCCTTACTCTCACTCCTGTAGAAGACTAGCTTATTAGAGAGTGGTAATGCCAGGCCGGGAGGGGTGGCTCACACCTGTAATCCCAGCACTTGGGAGGCTGAGGTGGAACGATTGCTTGACCCCAGGAATTTGAGACCAGCCTGGGCAATATTGTGAGACCTCATCTCTATTAAAAAGAGGGGGGGCAACCCCTTTGGGTCCCCTCCTACTATGGGAGCTTTTCTGTCTTCTCAATAAATCCTGCTTTCCAAGAAAAAAAAAAAGGTGATGTCTTACTCTTTGATCACAGAAGAATTTGTATAGAACATAAAATTTAAGGCTCATTAGGGAAATTAGATTTTTTGAATGAAAGATTATTTTAAGTAAAAGGAGAGGTATAGTAGAGAAAGAATCATCTTAATTTTTATTTTGATGCAAAATGAAGAATAACATGAAGATAATCAGGGGAAGAATGAGTTAGGATTCAAGAAATATTTAGGAAATATTAAGGAAAGATATTAGGAAGATTTTTCACTCCCAAATTATCTTAAAGCAGATATTGGAGATATTAAGTTAATTAGTAAAGAATACATAGAAAATTCTAAAATGAATTTCTGAACCGAATATAAACAGCTAATTGAAACTAAAGTTTTATCCTCCTACAAGTTCTCAAACAACCCAATGTTTACATCATGGAACTATTTGAAGATTGTTCTTTTTCCTAAAATAGGCCAACATATTGCTTTTATAAGAGTTTCAGATGTGGTCAGGTGCTCACACCTATAATCTCAACACTTTAGGAGGCAGAGGCAAGAAGATTGCTTGAGGTGATCAAGACCAGCCTGGGCAGCATAGTGAGACCTTGTTTCTACAAAGAAATCAAAAAATTATCCAGGCATGGTGGCATGTGCCTATAGTCCCAGCTACTCAGGAGGCACTCCAGCCTAGGCAACAGAGTGAGAACTTGACTCAAAAAAAAAAGAGCTTCAGATGTGACATCAGGTGCAGTAACTGGCAAGTCTCTTTCACAAAGGCAAACTGTCAAACCATTAATAAAAGTGTGCGTGTGTGTGTTTGTGCATGTGCGCATGCATATGTGTGCATTAATAGGGTTTTTCTAAAAGGGGAAATTGTATCTGAGTTATTCCTAATTATTTAATTCAACCTGAAAAGAGGACAAAGGAAAACTAGTTTGGATATCCTTTAAACAAGTGGAAAAGAATTCATGTATATAACTAATTCAGGTAATAGTGTGAGCCTCCTATTACTCTTTGGTGTTTGTTAGCATGCCGCAGAAAGTGTCATTGGTCCCATGAAGGTGCCTCATTGGTAGCTGCTGCCCCCACTTCCTGCTTGAGTGGTGGAGCAGACCCTAGAGTTTAAACAAGGGCAAGCCTAGAACTGGCAAAGAGTATAAAAAAAGTTTATGTATTTTATTTTTTTTAATAAAAGACAGAGGAACTTACTGACTTAGCAAATATAAATCAATTAATCAAACAAATAATTTTCTAAATAATTCTACTTCCAGTCTCCTTATGCAGAAACAAACTAAGAAACTAGGCCGGGCTCGGTGGCTCAGGTTGCAATCCCAGTACTTTGGGAGGCCGAGGCAAGTGGATTACCTGAGCTCACGGGTTCGAGACCAGCCCAGGCAACTTGAGGAGACCTCATCTCTACAGTATATCAAAGATTAGCTAGGCATGATAGCAAACACCTGTAGTTCTGGCTACTTGGAAGGCTGAGGTGGAAAGATTGCTGGAGCCCAGCAGGTCGACACTGGGGTGGCCATGAGTGTGCCACTGCACTCTAGCCTAGGTGACAGAGTGAGACTCCAACACACACACACAAAGAAACTAAACAACTCCTTTCTTAGCCTATTCCCAGTCACTTGAAACAACCAGTGATTGCTGGCTCCAGGGCTTAAATGTTATGTTCACGCTCCTTTGATAGGACTGTACCTGAATTTCTAAGTTACAGTGTGTTGCATTTATCTGGTTGGATATTTTATTGGGTATTAGAGCAGCAAAAGGCTACTCAACTTGTTTTTGTTTTTTTTTTTAATTTTAAAGATGTGAGGTACAATTCAGGATTAGGTATACAAGTGGTCATCATACAGGCAAAGTTTGGGCCTCCCTTTTGGTCCCTACTTTGCCTGGTTTGAGATCAGGTACTCTTATTAATGTTATGTGCCACCCCCACCTTGGCAGTTCCTGGCTACTGCCAATCCCTTTTTTATAGCATTATAGTGAATGTTCAGGGTCTGTTTTTGAGTGAGAACATGTGGTTCTCAGTTCTTTGTTTCTATGATAAATCATTAATTGTTATAGACTCTAAATCCATCCAAGTTGCTGCAAAGTTCATAATTTTGTTCTTCTTTATGACTGCATGATACTCCATCATGTATATGTACTTTTTTAATCCAATCCAGTTCAACTTGTAATAATCTGCATCTCCTGGTTTTCTTAAAGAAGTTTTTCTTTTCTGTAGCCTAGGTCGTTATGCCTCTTCTCTAGCTCTTGCCTCTTTATTGCATGATTCCAATTAGTCTCCTCTTCTATAAAAGGAGTATTCTGACAATCTATACGTTTTTTTTTTTAGTTGAAGTCTCACTCTGTCGCCCAGACTGGAGTGCAGTGGCCGCTCCC